AAGAGGTAAAGGATGGGTGAACCACACAGAACTATAAGCTTAAGAAAGGCCAAGCCCGAGAAGGATGCAGGAGCAGAGCAGGGAGGGTGGTGGGAGCCATGGTCACAGCTCTACTCCCCACACTGAATCCAGAAGCCCAGGACCCCACACTCAAGTCACTGCAAGAGGTTTAGACATGACTCGTACCTCACCTGGCTCCACCCCACACAACACAGGCCACCTTCACCAATACAAGCCGATGCTATCACAGGATCCTTTCCCATTAAGGCTTCAGGATCCTCAACACTGTGCCCCAGGCGGCCACTTCCCAAAATTGGCTGGCATGTGAAATGAACCCCCTCATTCACATTAGAAGGCCGCTTTTGAAGAAGTGCTCCGCTATTTGCAATTCACCTCTTTGTTGTAGCCATACTAAAATGCAGAGCATAGACAGCTGTGTGACTTGGCTTACAAGAAAATGCTTTGCAAATTATGTATCGATGCCTTGTTCACTATGTTTCCCTTGCTGGAAATAGTCTGCTTTACTGCATCAATGGACAAAGCAGTCTTTTCTCACATTTTCTTCCTTTAAAATCGTCTTTGTCCCTGTAACTTGATCCTTTGAGCAAGGAAGCTAATCTCATGCAGAGATTAGGTACTTCGCAGCCACCTTGCCAGCTTCTTCACACCCCATCTCCATGGGCAGACCTGTCACCTAGGCTGTGGAGAAATGCCTCCGAAGACCGCGTGCCAAGCTGATCTTTTTCAGCTTCAAATGTAAGTGACACTTTGGAATCTTCAGCCAATTCTACCCTTTTACTCTTTTGGTAGGCATAAGCATAGGCTTTCTGGGTCTCAGAATCAATTGACAGGATTTACTTCCTTAATAGAAAGACTTCAGAGAAGTGAAGCACAAGAGATTTTGAGCCAAACAGAAATGCAAAATTGTCTACCAGTAGAAAACAAATTTTAGATCCTAAACAATTTCATGTTTTATATCCTTGATTCTATTCTTTCACCCACAATTCTTGAGCTCTTTTCTCTGCATGAAAATACCTAGCCATCAGAATGTTTTCTGGTATCTAAATAGGATCCCTGAGAAAAATGAACTTTTTGATCCCTATCAACCTCATGAAGTGCACATTTCTCATGTCTAAGTACAAAATCTGCTAGGCATAAGTCCAATGCCCACGATAGGGCTATCCATACTTTTCTTAGACTGAAGCTGTATTAAGAAGGCAAGTTGATATAGTTCAGTTGGTAGATTGCTTGTCTTGCATGCACAAGGCCCTGGGTTCAATCCCTAGCACCAAAAAATAAAAGGCAAGTTATGCGTTCTTTGCTGCAGTGTTACATCAAGTGTTCATGCTAAAAATGTACAAAGAAAAATTAGAGAATGAAGGACCAAGGGCTATACCAGAATCTCATTGCAATCTCCTGACAAATCCATCAGAATCACAGCACTATAGAAGAGACCCATCTCAGATCTGGCTGCGACTATCAAAGCAGAACCCCTGTAGCCTTCATTTTTAGTGAGGCTTGCTGGTTGCTAACCATGAAGCTCCACTCTCATCCCACGGGGCTCCAGAGTTAAATGGAGAATGCCAAAGACATGTCACCTCCAATTTGTCAACACCATCCTGGATTCTGAACATTCCTATACTTAATAAAAGCAGGAATGAGGGGGAAAGAGAAGGTAGGATAAGGAAGACAGGACTTGGAGACATGCATTTAGTAGTATTTTAGACCCATAAGACAAAAGCTGATCCTGGGTTATGGCAAGCCAGCCACGGGATGCGAGTTATGAGCATTTTGAGCTCACAGCAGAGTTGACTGGACTGGTGCTGCCGCCATGTCAGGGCTGTGCACGTCTGTGTCCCTTTCATGTGCTCTGCCTTTGATTACAGCACATGAGGCAGGTGTGATCTTCCACCATGTCAATCTGCTGACAGCAAGACATCACAAAGCTAGACTCAACCCCCCGAAACCTAACCCTTTGCGGCATTTGAATGGCTTCTCACCAATAAAACCTGGGTTTGAGGGGTGTTTTCTTGCCTGCCTTGCCCCCCTTTGTGGGAGCTGTGGCTGAGGAGTGGTCACTGAACCCAAATAAAAGTTACTTTGTCTTTATTTAGTCCAAGTTTACTTGGAGTGACCCTGGCTGGTTTAGTTGTGTCATGACACTGGATCCTTCTAGAAAAGGAGGGTCTTTGCGGTATTGGATGTGATGTTAGTCTAACATCAGCAGCTGCTATGTCCAGTGTCCACAGTAATTCATCTCACAGGGTTAAGAAGGGATATTATCTGTAGAGGAAAGGAGGACTCAGCCAATGGGTTCCCCCCACCCCACCCGTTGCCATTTCCTTTGTAATTTCAACTGGAGATTGGTATTAAGAAGCCAAACAACACCTCAAAGAAATCCTGCTCTGATGTTGCCCCTTGGAAAAGTAGAGAATGTTACAATGGAGGAGGTGCTTCATAAACATGACGCATACATTCCATTTTCTATACATAGCCAAAGGATATTGTTTAGTGCTATAATAAATCCAGATATTGCCAACAGAAAATGAAACAAGTGTTTTAATGCAAAGAAAAAAAACTGCTTTCTTGGGTGTTAGTGTTCATTTTACATTCAAGCCCTCTCATCTGGCATACTGAGGCCTGAGGTAACTAATGGTAAAAGCTGATTAAAGCAGAAAATGCTTTAAAAAACAATGTACACACTTTGAAAACTTGTACCTACAGGGACCACATGCCACAGTTTACCTATGAAGAGGCCAAACTGGTTCTTTGAGAAGCTACTCACTGGACTTCCAACAAGGATCTTCTTTCATGAACCATGCTAAAAACATGGTCTACAACTTCCCATCTGTTTCCTCCGCCCCCCTCTGGTTCAAGCAAGAACCAAAGACAGTTGACAATAGAATCTTCTAGCCAGGCACAGTGGCACAGGCCTGTAATCCTAGCAGCTCGGGAGGCTGAGGCAGGAAGATTGGGAATTCAAAGGCAGCATCAGCAAAAGCAAGGTGCTAAGTAATTCAGTGAGACCCTGTCTCCAAACAAAATACAAAGTGGAGCTGGGGAATGTGGCTCAGTGTTTGAGTGTCCCGAGTTCAATCTCCAGCACCAAGAAAGAGTTGTAGGTTTCCCACATTCTCCACTTCTCAGAATTATAACCCACTTATATTGACAAATGCTTTTGTAATGACCTATTTTCCACAGAATATCCAGTGAACTTTCAAAGCAGTAACTTGTATATTCATATCTTCCATTTATAAAATACTTGGGGATCATTAAGTTACATAATTCCAATGATGGGTGCAATTGACATAAGGAGGTTTAAGTGCACACACACTCACCAACCAGTTGAGCCCCTGCAGCAGTAAGGCAGGAGTGTCCCAGTCAAGGGTTGGCTCAGCTGGCTACTGTGCTGAGCACGCCATGGGATAGGATGGCCGTTTTTCATCCATCACACAGGACTTCAGAATACAGATGTTAATGCAGAGAGTCAACATTGAAGTTGTTTGGAGAAACTCCTGTACTTGATATAATTTAAGTATATACTGCAAAATAGTTTGTTTTTAGAAGGAGTCTGTTCAGAGTTTGAGCCTTTTTGTACAGTCCGTTTTCCTGTCCCTAGGAAATGCCAGTGTATACTCATGTCACAAGTGTCTAGAGGCTGTCAGCTATGTGTAATTGTTGACCTTTAGTTGTGCTCAGCATATATGATGTGCCTGGCTTTATCCTAGATTGGATAAACTTTCCCCTATTCAAATTCCAAAGTGATGAGTTACATGCATTTTCTTTAGGGAGAAATGATTGATACATATAACAGAAATTATGGACAGGTAATTAAAAAGCAAGTGATTAGATATAATTCAAGGCCCATGTATGTTTTACAGTCACTCAGTGCTACCAGCAGTTATAAAGTAGAACAGCCAAGGTTGGATGCAGGTCCTCGACTTATTTCCCAAAACATTTAAATCCTCCCAACATCCTGACCTTCCCATCTGAAGTCACCTGCGTAGTCACTTTTGATTACAGAGTCAGAGCCTCATTCTTACTTGCAACCTCACCACTTCACTGCAAGTAAAATGACAGATTCCTCTCCATCTCTAGCTCCCCCCATCCATCCCTGCTCTCCAAGAAAGCAAAAAGGAAAAACCACCAGAAACTATTCCTTTCACTCCACCCATGAAACCACATTCCAGGTGCAGACTAGGACTCAACAAAAATTATTTTCTAATTAGAGACCTGAATGAAGACCACTGCGTATATTAAAAGCAAAATTACAGATATGAAGTACTTCCACACAAAGTGAGTTTTAGTTCCTTTTCTTAGAAAATTATGTTCTTGCTTCAACTTGACCCAATGCCAGGAGGAAACGGGCCACAATGTTATAGACCATTTACATGAGGTTGCCCATTTTAGGCAAGAAATCTACTTTCCACCATTGAATCAGTGTCTCCGGGTGAGGAAACCAAGGGTTTCAGCAAAACCAGTGGCTACAGGAATGGTCCCTGCAGTGTCTAATTGACCTCGGGCAAGCCATTCTGAACCTCAAGTATATTCATCCAAGTAATACCATTTTGCTCTATATCCACATGTGCCTTCACTGACCCAAGATTTCCTTTCCAATCATCTGGCCAAGCCTAGAACATCAGATCTGCTTCCCCACAAATGGGCTTCCCAGATCCACCAAGAAGCACCTGAAGGATCACACCAAAGACTAGAGGCTCACACTGGTTAGAGCCCGGGAAGAACCTCTTCTGTCCCAGCACTGCAAGAATCTCACTAGCAATCTGAAATTCAAGCTCCAGTCACATCTGAAGAGCAAAAGCAGCCAAGATGAAACAGGACTCGAAATCATTGCTCAAAATGCTTCACTAAAACTACAAGAGCCCACAATAGGCGTGGACTAAGCATATGACATGCCCGAGTTTGTAACAGTGATGTTTCTCAGCTCATGTTTGATCTTTAAGTATGAACAACAAACATGCCCTGCTGTAGGTGTCACTCACCGATGCAGGCATGGACCCTCACGGACAGCTGCGTCCTCAAGATGATGCTGTGCTTCTTGCCCCTCCTAAGGAAAACAGTGACAAAACAGCGTGTGAGTCAACAAATTTACCCAATGCTGTTGATCAACAGCCATCTGAAAGATTTCTAATAAGCAGGATCCCAAACTGAACCAGAATCTACCCTGAAATAATGCAACATTATAGGGCTTCAAGGAAGCAAAAACAGACCAATTTTGTTGGATTGGCACATGTGTTTTGTTGTCAAGTCCCATCAACTCGTTCCATCCACAGAGTTTGCACATAGTCATGCTTGATTATGCTGGGAAATTTTTTTAAGAACCGGGTCTGTGAAGTGAAATTCCTGGAATGTAACAATTGTTTGATCATTCCCATAGCTATATTTTTTATATAGTTACAGGAAAAGGAAACAAATCACAGGGCAATCAGAGCTGTTCTGCCGGGTATAAGTTCAGTCGTCTCCGCTTTTTTCTGTCCTCTTTCAGGACGAGAATCCACTGAAGAGCACTTACAGGCCAACTGACACCACCCCCAATCGCACTAGTTTCTGTCTGTCTCTGGTTCTCAGTGAGAAGGGTCCTCCCCAATTCCACTCCTACCAGGGCCTACCCTCCATAGTGCCAGGCCTTATGAAGTACAGAGCATCAGGTAGGATATGGAAGAAGAGAACCTGAGTCCTTGCTACCTGGGGTTGAACAGGGACCCTGAGCCTAGACACATGGGCAAGGGGCAGAGGTTAAACAGGGCCACAGTGTGACAGTGTCAGCAGTACTTAGTGGCTGAATTCTGTCCCAGCCTCATCTCTCCCCACGGGGAAAGCCTGGGCATGGCTTCCTACTTCCTGGTGCTGTGGCTGTGAGAAGAGGCCCTAGAACTCACCAAGGCACACTGTTAATATAGTTATGAATTATCCACAGTAGTGACTGCATTGGTTATTTTTACTCTGGAGATCAGATAATTAAAACAGGCTGATTCTTTAGTAAAACCAGTTTTATAGTCCTAGAAACATGCTAGCCTTCAGCCCAGCAACTGCTCATGGGGTGGAGAATCTTGGGCTGCCTTTGAATTGCAGTGAAGCCTGTCCGTTTTTGTGTTTGACTGGTTTACACCTCCTACATGCTGGGCATTAGTTTTAAAAAGGTTACAAATACTCAACACCTGGCCCGTCTATAAGTCTGGTTTGAGATTTCTATGAACAGATTTCTGCAAAATTTTATTCCTCAAAAAAAAAAATTATGACAGACTTTCTTCCAACTCTTGTTATCCTATGAAAAAAAAAAATTCCATTAGGTGTTTTGAACTGAATTATTGGACTTCCTTTTGTTTGACTGCCAAGAAGATGTTCTGAGGTAGGGCAGGCCCAGCAGGTGTGTTTGTCTTACCCGGCCAAGAATAAAGCCCTGATGGCTTCCAATCCCGAGGAATTTCTGTAACCCACATCAGTTGTAATTCAATAGTAAGCATCATGTGATCCTTGATAGACCATGAATTGGCCAAAGATAACATCTCTGAATACCCCAAGTTCTGGAGGATTCACAAGAGGGTTCAGACAGCAACGGCAGTTCTTAACCTGCATTTGCAAGCTTTCTGGCCTACCCACAGGTCAGCCCCACAACTACATAAGCCCATTCCCTAAAGTTTCTTGGGTTATCTGGATAGAGCTTATTGGTATGGTTTCTCCAGGGACTCCTAATACAAACTTTGGTACCTGCCTTCCTGGAGCTTCCATGTTGCAGAAATTAAATTGGAGAAGCTGTCACTGGACACTAGGGTAAGCACTTTAATAACCCTTTATCTCCCAGAGATGGGTGTGCCAGAGCCCCTTTACAACTACATCTTCCCAGTCACCCTTCAGTAGCAGTGTGGCGGGGGGGGGGGGCAGAATATACGGAGTACCAGAACTCTGAAGGCAGCTCAGTGTGACCTAACTGCTCCGGGAGGATTCCAGTCCTGTTATCAGCGTGGCCAATGCAGGGAAACGGCTCTAGTTCAAGTCCAGCTGCTCTTCCGAACCAGTGGCCATACCTCAACCTGAGGCCACATCCAAGGCCAACACCACCCCAGTGACAATGGAATTATCTAAAACAGATGTGCAACTCAAGGAGAATGCCTGTCAAGGCCTGTGCATAAGGGATGCGATGGCACTACCACTAAATTTCCCAAAACTTCCTGGATTCTCAGAAAACACGAGTTTCTCTTATTATGCCTATGGCCTTGGGGAAGCAAAAATCTGATTTAACCATTTAAGGCTCCCAGAAGCCTGTGTTTCCATTCCATCCCTCTCAAGGGCACATTTTTGCCGAAAACCAAAGACCTTGAGATAAAAGCAAGGGTCAAAGCCTTTGAGCAGAGTCAAAGGCTTGATCATTTTGGTACCAACAGTGGAACTAGTGACCCAAATATTCCTCCAGTCTCATAAGAACCAATCTTAAGGTTAGAATTCCATGGTTAACTATCCTGCAAGACCAGGGTCCCTCTGCAGTTGCCCAAGTAGAAATTTCTTAACAGCTTCCAGAGCTGGAAGCCTCAGTCAACACTCCTGCCTGGGGATAAAGATATGAAGGGGGATTTCAACCAGTCACCAGCTAGTAAAAGTACATGCTGAGATTTACTTAGAAGCTCAACGTCTAAGAGCCAGCTGCCATTATACTGACCTCCCAAAATATTCCGGTCTCTCCCATTACACTGGGGGACGTGGGGGTTAAGAAAACACCAGACTCAAGCCAGCTGTGCAATCTTTGACAAGTTACTTAACCCAAGTCTGTAAAATGGGATAATAATGCCTAGTTTCTCTGCAGGGTGAGAGGAACACGCAAACAGTGTGCTAGGAACATGCCCGGCATGTGGTAGGTGCTAGACAATGTTCTTGGTGAGGGTACAGGGTGGCAGTCTCCAAGCCACCTTCACTTCCCTTGTTCCATTCCTGTCCTAATTGTTTGGCTATCCACTCCTCTTCATGTCAGTCTGCCTTGTTACTTCCATCTCTCCCATCTTTCCCTTCTCTCCCTTTTTATCACCCATTCAAGAATCCACAGCAATGACCCATTTGTTATTGCTTCTTTCCTGCTCAATTAAAACTCCAGGGATTTAACATGAACTTTTTCAAGGGACCCTACTAAAGCTTGTCCCTTCTGTGTAGTGTTTGGCAACAGATCTCCAAGGAAGGAGCTATCTGCTCTAACTGTAAGGAGTCCCAAGATACACAGGATTAATTTGGAAGTGCCCTGCAGTATACATCCTGTGACCCAAGCATGAAGCCCCTGCATGTGTCCAGAGGGAACCAAAGCTCTGATTCCTGGGTGCTTTCTCAGAGGCCAGTTCCACTATCTTTTTGCTGTTCTCTCCTCCACCATAATTCCTCATCCCAAAAGCTGGAACTTACCATACCCAGCCCAATCTGTCACAAGCTCAGCCAGCATCTCATCCATGAGCATTCCTTGACATCTTTGTAGCCTTTAATGAGGTATGATTAGGGACCATAAAATTGATGGCTGTACAACTATTAATACACCAGTAATCAGCAAAAATCTAATTTTTCTTCACTGCCCAAGAGAAGCTTCATGTCCATCTGCCATCATTGCCTAGTGCCACACACAGCCTGACACTAGTTTACCTTGTCTCTACACATTTTCCTTTTCTGGACGCTTCATACAAATTATACAGCATCATTGTGTGTCCGGTTTCTTCTGCTGGGTCCGATTTCAAGCCTCATCCATCCCATGACACATACTTCACTTTTTATTGCCAAGTAGTATTCTATTGGATATGCATGTGGCATTTGGCTAGCTGGCATGCGGTAAGTGCTACACAATGTTCTTGATAAATCCTTATCAAGGATTTGTCTCTTATCAAGACAATGTTCGATAAATCTGTTGAGGGACAAGTTGTTTCCATTTGAGTTAATAGTACAAATTCTTACCTAGGTAAGCCAGGCTTTGTGGCACACACTTGCAATCCCCGAGTCAGAGGATGTCAAGTTCAAAGTCAGCCTCAGCTATTTAGCAAGGCCCATCTCCAATACTAAAGAAAGGTTTCAGGATGTGGCTCGATTACTGGTATAATCCCTAGTACCAAAAAACAAATTTTCCCAGAGATAAAACATTTGCCTATGTCTAGAGATAAAATTGTAGGGCTATGTAGTTTAACATTTTAAGAAACTATCACACCGATTCTTCTAAAGCAGCTGTACTATGTTCCCACCAGTAATGTATAAGGGGTCCAGTGTCAATACGTTACTGTCATGTTGATCCTAGTAAGTGTGAAGTGACGTCCCATGGTTTTGATCCATCTTTCCCTAAGGACTTACGATGTTGAGCATCTTTGCTTATTGGCCACTTGTATTTTTACTTGGAGAAATGTCAAATCCCTTGTTGCTTTAATTGGTTTATTATTAAATTGCAAAAATTCTATTCTAGTTGTAAGTCCCTTATCAGATGCAACTTGAAGACATTCTGAAGCTGAAATTTTCACTTTATCAATGACATCTTTTGAGGTAAAAGAGATCATTTTGATTAAGTCCAATTTGCATTTTGTCCCTTGTGATTTTGGTGTCATGTCTAAGACTATTGCCTAACCCGAGGCTATGGAGACTTTCCTAGGAATTTGATACTTATATGTAAGAGTTAAGACCCATTTTGTTCATTTCTGTGCATGCTTTAAATCCCCCCATATTCAGACCCTTTTTTCTTACCTTCTATACGTGGCTCTCCTCCAAAAGCAGAGAAGCCCTTGTTTGACACATCTACAGTTTCCAGGCAATCCCACTGATCCCCCACCATCCTCAGCTCCCCTATGCTTTGGATTCCCACTTCCCAAGGGCATCTTCAATCTCTTTGACATGCCTGGTTCCTCTCGAAGCCCGACCTTGTGGTCTGGTGTACTTAACTGCTCTCTTCGAGAGCACCTCTCCCCTTGCAGAGCAGGCACTGCTGGTTACCTATCCTGTACCCATATTCCCCGTCTTATAAAAAGACCATTATTTGGGGCTGGGGTTGTGGCTTAGTGGTAAAGCACTTGCCTGCATGTGTTGAGGCACTGGGTTTGAGCC